TGCTTACATCCCATTTGTTACCTTCCCACTGGACACAGAAAGTGACCTGACAAAGCCTCATGTCATGAAGAAAATTATCAGCTTATAGGGAAAATAACAGCTGTATAAAAAACCTCAGCCATTGAAACAACACAACCAGTCCACCACAACTACCAGCTGGTGAAGATAAAATTCAGACATCTTTCTACTTCACTTCATGCATACCTTAAGGAACAATTTAAGGATTTTTTACTTTCAGAACCATTTCTTCCATTTAAATTCTTTCCTGCAGATGGAAGAATATAAACTATAGTTTTGAAAGTCAGAGAAAGATATACAGGATAAAATCCCAATTCTACAACAACTTTCTGATGTCAGGCAAGTTAATGTAACTCTCCCAAGCCTCAGTTTTCTCATCTATAAAAAATGTTATCCATATCCTATCTTAATGATTTCTTATAAAGTTTAAATTAAATAGTGATGGATCATGAGGTCAAACATTTTAATACATTTTCTTATAATATTTTATACCAGAAGCTAGAGGATTCTTGAATCATTCTTATTCCCATGCCATTTAGATAATGCCCTTTTTAGGTACCAGTCCTAATTATCCTTCAGCCTTATTGACCTACATCTATTTTATTAAATATTCCAGGCTTTTCTCAATGGTCCCCTTTGTCTCTTTCTCAAAAGACTGTTTCTCTTTATTATGCTCAGGGCTCACTCATCTTACAGGGGACACTTCCTCATCAAAGTCTTTTCTGGCCCCCAAGCCCTATAAAGTGTGCTGCATCCATTTTCACGTTTCTTTGGAGCCTAGAGATTTCTAGCACAGCTCCTTTTAAACTTTGTGCTGTTTATTTATTCATATAACTCTGATCCCCATCCAGACTCTGAATTTCCCTGGGGAAGACACTGTGTCTTTTTTTTTTTTTTTTCTAAGCTTTTGAAGAGTTAGAATTTGGCAAGAGTGCATTAAGGAATTATTTTATTTCATTTTTAGCCACTACCTTCAATCATGTTCTGTGGAATTTCTCATCCCTACCCCTTCACATTGCATTCTGGTTCATGCCTCCGGGCTGATTTTCAGTGGGCACTCATGCTGGGTTCACTCTCACACTCCCTGCACTCCTACCTCCTGTTCCAGCCCTTCTTCCCCCCTCACTCTTCTGATTTTGCGTCCTCAGGTGTAAAGGCGAAGAGGAGGACACACTGGTCTCTGAAAATAGCTCTCTTTAAGTGCTCTGGGAAAAGTCATGAAGCCCAGCTGCGGCAAAGAACTCTGCCCCACATCAGCCTTGAGGACAAGGGACTGTGGGGGTGTGGTGAATTGTCAATGGGGCCATCTGAAGCCAAATTAGCCACCACTTCCTAAGACCTGGAGGCAAGATGTCAATTGTAAGGAATCACATGCTTTTCAGGACAACAGTTCTCAAATAATTTTGCCTGCATGTTGGAATCACCTGGAGAATATTACAAAGCTCTCCAATATTGGGATTTAACTTTTTTGTTGTGCAGTCTGAGAATCAACATTTAAAAAAGAACAAAACCAAAAAACTTCCCATTTGATTCTGATGGGCTGCTCAGCTGGAGAGCCATCGCTGCAGAAGGTGATGTTGCTTAAGAAATTATTGTTTTTGCCTCAGTTTGCCCTTGTAAGCAATGGTAGGGAACACAGAAAACATCTCACTAAACTTTCCATTACGACTCTATCCTTCAAGTCTATCCTGTCCTCGACTCCAGATAAATCCTTGATGAATGCTTATCTAGGAAAGCAATGCATATTTCTTCTACTACAGTAGAAGAAGAAGTTTGGGAAAGAATTTTGGTTGGTTTGTTGAAATTCTCTACCTCACACACTTTCCCCCACAGAAACTTGCACATAATAGGGACTTAATAAACATAGACTTGAAATAGAATGTGGACATTTTCATGGCTCTTATTTTAATGGCACTAGCCACAGTGTAGGAAAAATACATAAAGATCACTTATGAGTGCAGCTCTTTACCATTTACAAAACTTTTTTTTTTTTTTTTTTTTTCAATTTGAGTGTCTGTTCAGATCCTTACATCATTCTAAGTGTGGTTTTAAAGTTTTCTTTTAGGATATAAGATAAAGTTAAGGCTAGGAAAATTTAATGACTAGTTTCCTGGTAGTTCAGAGTTAGCAAGTGTACAACAGAGACTTGAACCCTGACCTATAGCTCCCAATTATATGTCATTTCTAGAATGCTTAGCTATTAGCTCCAGTGGCTTCTACAAATGTTAACTTCTTTCATTTTCTTTCTTTTTTTTTTTTTTTTTGAGACGGAGTTTCGCTCTTTGTTACCCAGGCTGGAGTGCAATGGTGCGATCTTGGCTCACCGCAACCTCAGCCTCCTGGGTTCAAGCAATTCTTTTGCCTCAGCCTCCCTAGTAGCTGGGACTACAGGCACGTGCCACCATGCCCAGCTAATTTTTGTATTTTTAGTAGAGACGGGGTTTCACCATGTTGACCAGGATGGTCTCGATCTCTTGACCTCGTGATCCACCCGCCTCGGCCTCCCAAAGTGCTGGGATTACAGGTGTGAGCCACCGCACCTGGCCCCCCTCATTTTCTTTTTAACCAAAACTTTCGTAAAAGCTCCACAAGGAAATCTGCTTCCTTTGGTGGGATGGTGACACACTTGGCAGGTACAATGAGCAGCAACCGACCTAACAACTGGGATAATAATTTTAAAAAGACAATTGCATGATAACTACCCACAAGGTATTACAATCAAGCAAATGTTGCTAATATGGGCCCTTTGCAAACATAACTTACTGTCTCATTAGGAAAGCCCAAAGGAAGAAAAATGAAATTAATCCAAAATTAGAAGTTAATTAGAAATATATGAGAATTTCATGTTGTAGATATACAAATATTAAACAGAAAATATGACTGTTACAGAGTTATTGAGGAAAATATATGCCTTTTATTATATATGGGGAAAAAAGATGATGTGCTAATCATCACTCATTTAAGTGATGTGCTAATCATCACTCACCTTAAATGAAAACTGAAATAGGCATAATGCCAAGATCTATTCAAAAAACCATCGTGCAATAGCTCAGGACTAGATGAGTTTCTTCAGAAATGTGAAGTAACCAGTTTTAAATACAATAAAATGGAGACCAGTCATGGGACTTGTCACAGCAGAGAAAGCCACGTTGAGATGGAGTGGAGACAGGACTTGGCCTATCCCCACTGGCGCCAAACCCACTGAGACCTTGTAAATTATCTGAGAAAGCTAAGATAAGCAACACTGGACAACAATCTTAACCAAGGCAGGGGATCCTACCATCATGCACACAAGACCAGGAAGTTTATAACCCTAACATTCACCTCATTGTACTTCTAACATCTCCCCCAGAGTGGAGATCCTTCCCTGTTTTCTAATCATACCATGGGATTCATGTGTTAGCATGATTTCTCACTCAGCTTGTGTACCCAGTTCTCTACCTCCCATATGTAAAGATGCTTACTGACCTCATTACTTATGGTACCCTCCTCTAGACACCACTAGGACCCACCCTGGGGAGCCCTGCGTCCTGCACTGTCCCACTTAGGCCCAGCCTTTCTGTACATAAGTGTTCAAAATCTTGTCTTGGAAAAGTGTGCCACACTTCACGTTAATTTCTATTGCATTGAAAGCCAAGAACCTTGTGTTGGCAACAACGTGAACAAGCCAGCTTAATTTTTGAACAGAAGCAAAACTCGATTTTGGTTATTTCTTGTCATGTCTCTAATAATCATAAAGAAAAATTGAGTCGCCCTTCCAAAAATGGCATAAAGCAGACACCTTTAACAAATCTGCTATCAGGAAAACCCCATTGTAGTAAGTAATCATTGTAAAGGTTAAACGACTTGCTCATTTTTACTTTATAAATCATCCTGTAACTGTGCTTCTGAGCCTCTCACCACTTTCACTTTAACGTCTCCTGGATCACAATGTATATGCCTTGAAGACAAGTGGTAAACTGTTACATTTTCTAACTGGATCTGATTTTATTTTTGATATCAAAAAAGTAGATCTTACATTTAATATTTTGAAATAAAATTAGGTAGCTAGACTTTGCATAAAAGAATAATAAGTTATTATTTCAGTTTAACATCTCCTTGATCACACCGTACCTTCCTTGATGACAAGATAATAAACGCTCACATTTTCTAACTGGATCTGATTTTATTTTTGACATCAGAAAAGTAGACCTTATATTTAATATTAGGAAATAAAATTACATAACTAGGCTTTGCAAAACAATTAAGGGCTTGGAGTTAAATGTAAATTTCAGGTAAGCAATTTTTCAATATTTTTACTGTATGTTCTATGCATGTTGTAGACATATTTATACCAATAAATTTATTATCTGAAATTTAACGTTAAGCCTGCATTTTATTTGACAACCCTAAAATGGGGTCAAGAACAATAAACTTTCTAATTCAAATCCAATCAATGTCCTCATAAACATTGTTCTTCGTTGGGGCATCATATAACCTTAAATGAGGAATATCTGTAGAAGAGGAATTCAAGCAGATTCATGCGAAGGACACTTATTGTCTCATCTTGAATCTAGTATTATTCATTATTGTACTAGCGATGATTTCTTGTTTTCTGTATTCATGATGCTCTGGCATTTGGGCCTTGCTGACTTGGGAGAGATTCCCCTAACCCTGGCAGGGCTAGCTAATTCTGAGAGGAGAGCAAACAGCTGGCCTGTGAGTTCACCTTTCATGTACAAACAAACCAAACTGGAGCCCACACACCTCAACAGCCTCCTTTATTGAACACTCACACATCACACCCTGCCCTCATCAGCCCCAGGCCAGACACCAGACAATTGGAGATAAGTCTCTATTTCTGTGGCCTAGGGCACTTCTCAGCTAACCAATCCTAAATCTGCTTACCCTGCCTCCTGTGATTCTCCCAACAGAAACAACAATAAAAATATGGTCCATAGTCCCCCTCCCCCTCTGCCTTCTGACTCACCTGGTGCTTCCTCGTGTGTGGTCCTGCGTGGCGTGCCTCGCCTCTTGTTTCTAGAACCTAAGAGTATAACAACATTTTTCTTCATGACAGTCATGTCCAATTATAATCAACCGTGGGTATATTTTTGCTAAGTATATTAATAGAAGAAAATTGAATACCTTAAACTAAAAATGTTAACTTAGGAAGAACCTATCTTATAATTCACTCAGAAAAGGACTACATTTATGTAGAAGAAAATGTGGGAGGCATAATATTGACTCCCAGTCCTATCAGAGCTGGCTGTGGGAGCCTAGCAACTCCCATTCCTCTTTATAATTCAGTTGAAACAACACAAAAAAAGCAAATATAAAAAAAAAAAATCATTAAATATAGCACACTACCCATATAAAAAGAGATAGGAAAACACGTTCTTTCTTACTTTTGTCAATTACAGACCTTCACACCTGGTTGCCGCTCTACCTGCAATAATGTTGCATGCTACTATGGCGATTCCCAGTACATGTTTAAGTGCTGCTTGTAGCCTTACTTTCATATTAGATGCCTCTTCAGTATTCTCTTAATGCATCTATTTCCCCATAATTTTCTTAACCACAGTTATATTTTCATGCATAAACAATGTCTTTTACGCATTATTGGAATAAAACTAAAAACACTTTATTTTTTTCCCCACTGTCTCCTGAAAATTCAAGCTGAGAGGAAAGTCTTTTTCTCTTGGCTTAATTTTCTAAAAAAATGCACGCTCTTGGATAATTCATTGCCTTAAATTCACTTTGTCAGAAAACACTCTTATTCTGAAAGTTAAAATGTCCAACTTTTTGTAAGAAAAAAGAAATCTAAACTAGTTTTAAACGTCAGTGTTCTTCCCATTCCCATTTCAGCTCCTGGCAGTCTTACCATGCACAATTGATGGAAGAGGTGAAGAGGGTCTTTTCTTCTTTCTTCTTTTTTTTTTAGTGGAACTTTACTGTTCTATGTGGTCCCTGTGAGGTCTGAGCATAGGCAAGGGGGAGAGGAAAGAGAAAGGGCAAGTTTTCACTGAATGATTGTTTTGTATTTTCCGTGTAGAGATAGAAAGTCTTTTCTCTGATGGGCAATGGCGGGACACTGTTCTCTCTGACTTAATATTATTTTTTTTATTACCTGTATCACTAATGCAAGAGTCTTGTATATATCTTTCTAGAGCCTTTAAGAAATTGACATTAACCTTGAGCTTCTCTCCACACAGTAGTTTGGTAGGAAAAGACACAGAAGACCCAGTGTACCATTAAAAATCCCATAGGGAACACACTCTGGGGACGATGTTGGATCCCAAGACAGATGCAAATCTACTGGCCCTTACAACAGGCACTTAGTCCTTCTCTTGCCCTGAGGATTTTGTGAACAGCAGTTTGCCTCCCATGCACTAAGCCTCCCAACGCAAATTCAGCTACTTTTCTCTTGACTAATTCCCACTGATGTTCCTCTCCCCTGCATCGCTAGCTTGAGGCCAGGTTTCCTTAAAAGATGAGACTCAGGGCATTTCAATGGCTATGTTTAAGCCACCTCCAAAATCCTTTAGCTGGCTTCACTTTGCCTATGTTTTCCACCGGACTTCATTCTGTGAAGCATCACTCACAGTCAATAACAATCCTATTTATTATAGAGAGTTGTTGTGTGCAATATATTGCCACATATATTGCAAATGTCTAACACAGAGTTTAAACATTGATTAATTAATTTATTAAACATTTTTATTTGTAGCAATTTGTTAAAAGTTGATAAATATTAATGTATAAACAAATAAACATAGAAATAATTAACTTAAAAATATCACAGGCAGCCACCATAGAATTTTCCCAATTCAAAAATCAACATTGTTTTTAGAGGTAAATATTAAGCACTAAGAATGTTCTATGTAGCTCAATCATCAATGGATCAGGAAGATCACTATGAAAGTTAGGTAATAAGAACATTTAAAAAATTTGAAAGTTCACTTGATATAATACACATTACTAACCCATATTTAAAGAGTTGATAAAATACACATTACTAACCCATATTTAAACCTTGCCAAGTGATGTAATTAACTATTTTATTAAAGGTAATTTTGATTTTTAGGAGAAAATCTTATTTTAATATGGGCATTCTTTGTTAGTGAAAGAATAGATTATTACAAACTGACAAAAAACCAAATTTGCAATATAATTCAACTCCTATCTCTACTTTCGTAATTTTATTTTTCAGAATTCAACCCAAATAATTCAATAGAAACATATTTTAAACAAAATTGATGTACAGGTGTCTTTACTGTAGCACAATAGATAATAGATAAAATTGAATAGCAAGGAAGTATTTAAACATATTATGCTAATGCATAATAGATAAAATTGAATAGCAAGGAAGTATTTAAACATATTATGCTAATGCTATGTTCATACAATGAGATAGTACATAGTTTTAAAAATGCTGTCTTGACCAAGTATGGTGGCTCGTGCCTGTAATCCCAGCACCCTGGTAGGCCAAGATGGGAGGATTACCTGAGGTTGGGAGTTTGAGATCAGTCTGGCCAGCATGGTGAAACCCTGTCTCTACTAAAAATATGAAAATTAGCCAGGCATGGTGGTGCATGCTTGTCTGTAATCCCAGCTACTCAGGAAGCTGAGGCAGGAGAATTGCTTGAACCCAGGAGGCAGAGTTTGCAGTGAGCCAAGGTTGGTGCCATTTCACTCCAGTCTGGGTGACAGAGCAAGACTCGATCTCAAAGACAAACAAACAAACAAATGCTATCTCTACCAGTACTAAAATTTTGATCCTATGATTCCCAGGTTATATTATATCTCAGTATGTGCCTGCATATGCATGTGTGTGGGGTTTGGAAGGTGCTGATGTTTCAGAAAGAACTATAGGTATCACCTATCTATGTTAAAGTCTGATATTTTCTCCTTAATGCATTGCATTGCATTCTGTTTCATTCTGTTTATGTTTCTTACAATAGTCCTGCAAGTCAGATATTAAACCCGTTGTACAGATAAAAGAATCACTGAACAAAATGTAGAGATCTTTCTATAACTTATATGTCAACCTCCAAGTCAACTTACTAATGTTATCCTATGGGCTTTCAGATTAAATAAATGTTTTCTGATTTTCACTGTGCTAAGTTTCTGAGTAAGCAATGAAGAGATGAAACAGTCTTTTCCCTCACAGAGTATTACTAGGGAACAGAGGTATGTGACTAGTAACTGCAGTGGAGTTAAATAATGACAATTAACTACCTGCCATGATATAGAATGAGAAGTCAAAGAAATAAGTCATCAAATGCATATTTTCTTCTCCTTTGAACTGTATAATTATGAGCTATTTTCTGGACACTGGTGCTTTTTAAAAAAATTTTAAAGTAGGAATAATACTAACATGATAAGTGTTATAATGATTAATGGAGGTCATTTCTGTAATTAAATTAGCACTGAGGCTGATCATACGTGGACTATAAATGCTAGTCCTTTGGCCCTTTGCCCTGGATTAAAGATGAACCTACCACTTCCTGGATTCACAAATCAGCTGAAGTATGTGAAGAAAAAAATAAAAAAGGTAAAAATAGAGCACATCAGTCAAAGAGAGCAGCAGGAAGAATTATAAGCTATTATTCCAGAGCCAATTTAGTCTCCATTTATTTGACAGATTGGCACCTTGTAAATATGTCACCTGTCATAATTGGGCTGTCAGAACCACAACTTGGTTTCACACAAATGGCTTTTCTAATACAGTAACCTGCTCTCTTTCCTTCTGCACAGACATGTATTGCCTTTCTACACCATACTGTGTCCTCATGGACATGATGGGTGAGGGCAGGATTCTATGTAGTTCAGTAGAATAGCTCCAGTCCTTGAATTCACTTTGTAGTAGCTTTCTTGGTCCTTTACTAAGCTGGATAGTGAGCTTTTACATTCTAGGGTATACTACCAAGTTCACATTCAGCAAGGTTTCCTTTACTTCCTGGGTAAGATGACAATGAGCTCATCTATGTTGCTTGCTGCCATTCAATTTCAATTAGAATAGTGAAAGAAAAAAGGATATAAAGACGGGAGTAAAATGTGTGTACGTAGGAGTATCTGTATTTAATTCTTCAGGATGTTGACAAAACAACAGAAACTACCACTAATTTCTAATTTGTAAAATAAGTGAGTGGCTACGTTAGATCAGAGGAGGTTGTAATATTCCAACTTACTTTTTCTGAGAAAGGGACATATGCCCAGGCGATAAGTGGAAGTGCCTGAGGACAAACAATTTTACAATTCTCTCTTAGAGGGAAATGTCAGGGGATGGTGGGTAAAACATTTAGAGGACAAATGAATCCCTACCTGCCTAGGGCAAGTTCCAGGGATAAGGCTTGGAAAGTGTTTGTGTGTGAGTAGGGGAGGAAGTGGGATGAGACTGAAAGACAATAAGGAGAAAACATGGAAAATGAATTGGGGAAGAAAAAAAAATATTTTAATGCCAATAAGTTGATTTCATTAAGCATGGCAAAGGAAAATGAAAGGCAACTTGTATTGGAGAGAATGCCTGTGGCCTCGGGTATCTCTCTACATTCTTAGATTGATGCAGTCATGAACTTCTGGTTTGCATTAAGAAATGTCTAAACAATCAACTCATAAAGAGAACAGCATCTGGTTCCATATTAACAGTGGGTAAAACCTATTTTAAAAGCTATAAAACAAGTACCAAATTTACAAAAGAAAGATCGCCAAATGTAGGAAAGTATAGCTCTTTGGAACCACCATTCTAAAGAAGAAAGACCCTTTGAATATTCAGAGTAACATTGCATTGTCAAAAGAATTAAATTACATACAGAAATTTATTTGAAAAGCTGAGTAAAGTTCTTAACAGAAGTGAAAAGAAGGACATTGTTTCTATTTGTAAAAAGTAAAGTTTATCTGCAAAGTTTCTCTTTTTGTTAAAGAATAAATAAGTGTCAGAAATAATAGTTTCTTTTAAAAACTAGTTTCCTTCAACATTCCTTGCTTTTTGCTAATAACTTTTTGTTAAGCCCTATGTAGCCATTAAATATTGTAAGGGAATAAGTGCATTTTATGTCTTTGTATTTTAACCAAGTTATTTGTTCTGGCCTACAGCCTGTTCAGACATGTTCTAACATGCCTAGGCATTTCCCACCTTACAGCCAACACCTCTTCCTTATTTGGAAATGTTATTATTCTCCTACTTTCCCATAAACAACCCCCTTTCTTTCTTTGTTCATTACTGTGCATTTACCTATTTAGGAAAGTTTTAAGTTTTTAGTCAGTTGGGATCAGTCTAGATTGGGCAGCCCAGCTCCAGCCAATGGGGATGGGACACAGCAGTAAAAACCCAATGTGTCAGGGATAATAACTTCTGCTTTTATTTGTTCGATGTGCTCTCATGGCAAGCAGACTTCCAAGAAGCACCCTTTCTGCAGAAAGTAAGATCACCTTGCTGAGAAAAGTTCTGTCTGAGTGCTGGTTCTTCTTTTTGGCACCAAGGAACAAGCATTTGTTTCCTAGATATTAAAAGAGAAAGTAGTTGTTAAAATGACTTAAAATCAGGAAATATTGTAAAAGCTTTACAACCAGGGGAACTATTACAAATTTTAAGGCTATAGGGGAAAAAAAAGAGTATTGCATTGCGTGCTGAAACCTTTAAAAAACTTGTCAAAATAAGAAATCAAGCTTTCAATTTTCTTCCAAACATAAAAGTAGAAACTGCAAAAGAATTGAATATGCTATGAAAAAGAATATGCGATATTAATGAAAGAATTATAGTATGACATAACAGAGATAACAGAATAAACAAAACAGAAATATTGATTGAAGAATCATAGAATGGAGCTTTATCAAGGTTTTAACAAAATAACATGTACCGGATCCTTTTTTTGCAGTGAACTACTATAAAAATGGGAAAACAATATATAAGGCAACAGTTTATAGGCACTGGAAAACAGGCTTTGATTTTTAAGAGGAGACAAACTCATAAAATGATGTCCATGCCAGTCCAGCATTCTGCCAGAAATAATGTCTCAATCATGCGGACAAAAACAAACTCTGTGAAACTAAATTATCATCAATGAAAATAGGCTATCAATGTAAAATACTTGAAGAGATTTATTCTGAGCCAAATATGAGTGACTATGGCCCATGACAGAGCCCTCAGGAAGTCCCGAGAACATGTGCTCAAGGTGGTCAGAGCACAGCTTGGTTTTAGACATTTTAGGGAGACATGAGACATCAGTGAAATACATTTAAGAAATACACTAATTGGTCCAAAAGGCCAGACAACTGAAAGTATGGGAAGTGGCCATGGGGTTTGGGGGATGGTGGTGGGGAGCTTCCAGACTACATGGAAATTTAAACATTTTCTAGTTAACAATTGGCTGAGTTTGTCTAAAGACCTGGGATCAACAGAAAGCAATATCTGGCTTTGTGATAAGAGGTTGTAGAGAATTGGTTGAGTTTGTCTGAAGACCTGGGACCAACAAAAAAGAATGTCTAGGTTTGTGACAAGAGGTTGTGGAGACCAAAATTTTACTATGCAGATGAAACTTTTAGCTCACAGGCTTCAGAGAGAATAGGCTGTAAAATGTGTCCTTTCAGACTTAAAGTCTGCGTTGTTGTTAATGCTGGAGAGGTGTAATGAGGCAAGCCTGTCCCCCACTTTCCTCGATGGCCTGAGCCAGTCTTTCGGTTTAAATTTTAAGAGCCCTGGCTGAGGAGTAGGTCCATTCAGATAGTTGGGGGACCTCAGAGTTTTATTTCTGATTTACAGTTGATACAGGAGAGGGGCAGGAAAGTGCTAGGAGAAGATGGGCAGGGTCCCTGGTGTGGGCTCTAACCTCAGGCCTGTGCCCAAGGCCCTAGGTAAAGACAGGCGCTTCTGCATTTGTGCCTAAATGTTGCATTTTCTAAGACCACCCCGGCCCACCACGCCTTTGTCCTGTACTATAAAAGCCCTGAGACACTAGAAGAGAGCACCAACACAGCAGCTGGACGTCAAGGGGAACACACAGCAGAATACCAAAGTGGCTGAATGTCAAGAGGAACACACCGGTGGAAGAGCACGCCGACAGGCACTGGCAGATGCCAGCCATCCATCGACAGCAGAACGAAGTGCAGTTTGGCTGGGGCAGTCGGAGGAGAACCCAGCTGCTCGGCGGCCTGACTCCAGGGGATAACCACCTTCCCACTCCAAGCTGCTTCTGACCCCCCTACCCACCTTACTGCGAGCTAACACCACTCAATGTAAAATCTTGCAGCCATCCACCAAGCCCATTTGTGTTCCAGTTCTTCTGGTACGCAGAAAGCCCTCTGTCCATGTGATAAGGCAGAGGGTATAATTGAGCTGATAAACACAAGTTGTCTATGGACAGCTAAACTGTCCATAGTTTAGCTAAATGTCTAAACTTTTACAAGTTCAAAGTGATAATTCAATCACTAAACTGCTTTCTTGAACAAATTATCAACAGCCTGCAGAGGAAGATAACAGAATCTATTGTACAAACCACATTGTACTACATATAGTCAAATATTACTAAACATCCAAAGAAAAATGAAAATGTCTCCATATATAAGGAAAAAAATACAGTGAGGAACAAACCTGAAAGAGCATACTGTAACACACACCTACTGGGGGTTCAGCTGTAGACATTCATCCCTAGACACTGCCATGGGGTCAGAGGTTGGAGCCCCACAACCTGCCTCCCCACAATCTACTTGCTTCCCATTGAGGTTTGAGCATCAGGGCACTGAATAAGTGAGCCCCATACCCATCCCACACCCTGCAGGGGTGATTTGGGAACTTTTTCTGTTTCGCAACCACATCAAAATAAGCTTTGGTCTAAGAAGTATATGACTTCTCCCTCAAGCTAAGGAGGCAGAGATAAGAGTCTGGGGCAACTAAAGTAGCGGGAATCTGTAAAGCAGAACACAAAAGAGTTATTCAGGTACTGAAATTTCTATTTGATCACTCAGGAGTGTTTGGCTGGAGGGCTGGCTGAAGATGAACTGGATGAGAATGCACAAGGTTATCTAGAAAGCAGCTGCAAAGCTGAGAGTAGAACAGACACTGGGGCTTGAGTAACACTGAAATATGCCCCAGTTCTGACTGACACACAATGTAGAGATCTCATTAGTGTCTATGGCCACACGTGTCAGTCTGTCTGTGTTGCTACCAAGGAATACCTAAGATGGGGTAGTTTATGAAGAATGAGGTGTATTTAGCTCTTGGTTCTGCAGTCTGTACAAGAAGCATGGTACCAGCATCTGCTTCTGGTGGGGGCTTCACGGAGCTTTCAATCACTGTGGAAAGGAAAGAGGAGGCAGCCTGTGATGTGGAAAGAGGGGGAGCAAAAGAGAAGGAGTATGTGCTCTGCACTTTTAACCAACCAGCTCTCATGTGAACTAAAAGAGCAATAACTCACCCATTACCACAGGTGGGAGCACTGACCCATTCATGTGGGATCTGCCCTTGTGACCGGAACACACTCCACCGGGCTCCCCCTCCAACATCTAGGCAAACTGAGTGAGAAAACTTCAAAATATTGTGATTTAACATGAGATTGGAGGCAACAAACACCATTCTGCACATGCAAGTGGGCCACCAGAAATGTCAAGCCTTAAAGGAAGAGCAAGACCCTGAAACAAGATTTTGCCTAGACATCTCCAGACAAACCCAAAAACTAAGCCTTTAGGTCTGCAAGAAAGACAGAATATGAAGGTGAAGCTCTACCCAGTTCTGGAGCTCAAGAAGCATCTTGGACCTTCACAGCTCTGCCCTGACAAAGGGTAAAGCTAAGCTTTTACAAGTTTGAGGCGATAATTCAATCATTAAACTGCTTTCTTGAATAAATTATCAACAGTCTGCAGAGAAAGATAATATAATCTATTGTACAAATCACATTGTTCTACAGATAGTCAAATATTATGAAACATCCAAAGAAAAATGAAAATGTAACCATATATAAGAAAAAATTCAATGAGAAACAAACCAGATGTATCCAGAGGTTGAATTTAAAACATATTTTTAAAAAGCTTTGTTCACAAAATCAAAGGAGAATTTTTTAATATTAGTTATCTATTGCTGCAAAACAAATTACTCCAAAACTCAGCAGGTAAAAAGCCACAAACTTTCATTACTTTATAATTTCTAAGGATCAGTCATTTTAACACAGCTTAACTCATTCCTCTGCTTCAGGGGACCTCACAAGATTACCAGTTATTGGCCAGTACTGGGATAACACCTAAAGACTCAAATGGGGAAAGACCTGCCTTCCAGCTGAAAATGGGTTTTGGCAGCATTCAGTTTCTTGTGGGCTGTTGAAATGAGGGCCTGGGTTCCTGGTGGGCTGCTGGCTGGAGGTCACTCTCAGTTCCATGCTATGTGTATCCCTCCAAGATGGCCACTTGCTTCATCAAAAGCAAGTGAAAGAGTGTCTGCTAGCAAGATGGAAATCGCAGTATTTTATAAACTAATCTTCAAAAATGACATCTTATATTTTTTACTATATTTGATTTATTAGAAAAAAGTTATAAAGTACATCCACACGTAAAGAGAGGACATTATAACAAGAGCCTGAATAGTGAGTAACAAAAGGTAAAGATAATTGGGTACTATCTTAGAAGTTGATGGATAACATTAGCCATTAGAGAATGGAAATTAAAATTACAGGGAAATGCTAGTTCATAACCAGTGAGTGGCTAAAATTAAAAGATTGACATTAAATGTCAATGAGTAGTCGTTGCAATTACAATTTCATACTGTAAACCAAAAATAAAACTCAAACGTCCTCCCCAACCATCTAAATGGACTTCCATCTCTAGGTCAGGACGTGAAAAATTAGCCGGAAAGACTGGATCAGACCATGACAGAAACGGGGAGTCAGAGATAGCCTCATTATGCCTTCCTCCTTTTTGGAATTCAAGAAAAGCTAACCAGCATTTAGCATTAACTTAGATCTTAAGTCTGATGAGAAACATTTACAATTTATTCTCTCTGAAGCCTGTTACCTAGAGGCTTCATCTGCAAGATAAAACTTTGATCTCCACAACCTCTTACCATAACCCATGCATTCCTTTCTACTGATAATAATTATTTCAACCAATTGCCTATCAGAACAATTTTAAAACTACCTATAACCTGGAAGCCACTGCTTCCAGTTGTCCTGAATTTTTGGACAGAATCAATGTATATCTTAAATGTATTTGATTGATGTCTCACATTTCCTAAAAATGTATAAACCAAGCTGTACCCTGACACCTTGGGTACTTGTTCTCAGGGGCTCCTGAGGACTATATCATGGGCCATGGTCACTCACATTTGCCTGAGAATAAATCTCTTCAAGTATTTTATAGAGTTTTACTATTTTTGTCAATAATACACAGTTGGCAGATGGAGGAAATGGTGGGAAAAAAACGGTTTAGCAGTTTCTTATGAAGTTAACCAAACATTTATCATGTAACTCAATGGAACTCAATTCAATTGAATTTTAGATACTTATTCAA